CCTTCTTCTGTAGAAGGGTCTAGGCCCGAAACGTCAGCCTTCCTGCTCCTCTGATGCTGCTTGGCCTGCTGTGTTCATCCAGCTCTACACCTTGTTATCTCAGATTCTCCAGCATCTGCAGTTCCTACTATCACTGGCTAAGGTTAATTAGGTAAGCAATTCAAGATATTCACCAAAAATACATTTTATTAAAAAAAAAACAAGCCAGATTCAGTTGCTACTCAGGAAGTTAGCGCAAAAAAAAAAAACTGACAGCAAGTCAGAGTATTGGGGTGTTTCAGAAATCAGTCAACAGTCAACGTTATGGGGGGAAAAAAAAAATGACAATGACCTACCCAGGAATAGAGAAACAGGATTGTAAGAGCTTTCACAAGTATAGAAAAAGGAAGAGAATAACTAAAGTAAACACAAGTCCCTTAATGCAGAGAAAGATAAAATTCTGAGGAATAAAGACACAGCAGAAGCTTTGAACAAATATGGTGTGGCTGCCACTGTGGAAGACCACAAATACACAATAACCTAGGGACCAAAAAGGAATGAGGAAATTGATATACCAGCTGACAAAATGTATTAAGGAACTAATAACTCATATCCCCAGGTTCTGGAGTCCTGAACCCCCAGGCTCTAAACAGACAGTGGTTGTGCTATGGTTTCTCAAAATTTCCTTAGATTTGTGAGCAATCCCATCAAATTCAAAGTTTGCAGATACAATGTAGAGGTCTTCAAGCATGTGGCAAAGTATAGGAGGATTAGAATGTCAGTTTTACAAAATGAAAGCTTTGACAATTCTTTTTTGGGACATAACTAGTAGAGCAGAATACAAACCATTAATGTGTAATACATCTGGATTTCCAAAAGACATTTGTTAAGCTCACACACAAGAGCCAAGATAGGAACACAGATGGGGTGTAATATTGCAGTATGGCTGGAAAGATCAGTTAACAGACAGGGTACAAAATGGATCTAAACAGGGCATTCCCAAGTTGACAGGCAGTGAATTGTGGAAGGTCACAAGGATTCATGCTGAAGGCTTAGCTATTTAATCTATAGAAATTACTTCGAGACATAGCAATAGTTTTCTGATGATACAAACCCAAGTGGAAAGGTAAGCTGTGAGGAAGTGTAAAAGGTTATTCACTTTGGTGAAAGAGTAATGAAACAATATTTAAGATTTGGGAGCCTTAAAATTAGTGCTCAAACAAGGCTTTATGTGTTCGTACATGGAAGGCAGAAAGTCATATGCAGTGCAGCAAACAATTGGTATACTGGCCTTTATTGCAAGGGGTGCAGAAGGTAGTATTGCTAAAATTGTTCAAGGCTTCAGTAAGATCACAATACTGTCCAGTTTTGGACTCCACGTTTCCAAATTGTATTTGTACTGGAAGCAAAAAGTTACCTAAACTGGTTTCAGGGATGAGAGGTTTGTCCTATTGTGAGGAGCTGAAAACATTGGATGTATAATCCCTGGAGGAGAGTGAGGGAGAATCTCATTAAGACAAAATTCTGAAGGAGCTTGATACCAAATTTAAAATCATAGGGGTAGAGTCTCCAGGACCAAGAGGTGGAAAAATTACACAGCAAAAAAAATTCTAAAAACAATACTCCAAATGTTTGTGCATTCTAAAAGCACATTTGAAATATGATTTCAAATAAACCTGTTGGATTATAACATGTGGCAGGACTTTAGAATTTCTTTACGTGATGTCTCTTCCCAAGAGAACTGCTAACACAGCTCACTTAAGATGTGGTCCAGAACTGTTATGGCATAGGAGACAGTCTATTTGGCCCATCATGTTTGCACTGGAATTCCAAGCATTATGAATTAGTATCATTCCCTAGCCTTTTCCCCATACCATGCACATTTTAATAGAAACCATCTAATGCCCTCTTGAATGTCTCAAATGACTGCCTCCACCACACTTCCGGACAGTGCAACCCAAAAACATTTGTCCCCTCATGCCTTTTTTGCTACATTTGCAAGTCACTTCAAATCTGTGCCCTTTCATCCTAGATCATTTTACAAGTCGAACATTGTCTCCCCATCTACCTTATCCAGACATCTCATGATTTTGAAAACTTCCAAACAGATCTCCCTTCAGTCTTATTTCGAAGCAGAACAGCCCCAACTTCAAATTTGTCCTCATAATTGGAAGTTTCTCATCACTGGAAGCTTTGTCACAAACCTCTTCTGCACTCTATCCCGAAGTGTTCACCTCCTTCTTACAGTGTAGCATCAAAACTGTACACAGTACTCCAGCTGAGGTCTAACAAGTGTATTATATAAATTCTGCATCACCTTCTTGCTCTTTTACTTTATGTCCCCATGAATAAAGCCCATGACCATCATGTCTTCTTAGTTTCTCTCTACCCAACCTGCCACCTTCAGTGATCTACGCACATATACAGCCGGGTCCTTCTGCTCCTTAGTCTCATTAAGAATTGTACTCTTCTCTAAAAGAAAAAAAAAAGTTATCTGCCCACGTTCTTCTTATCAAAATGCATCACCTCACTTCTCTACACTAAAAAACTTCACCTGCTACCTATTTGTCCACTCCATGAACTGGTCAACGTAGCTTTGGAGTTCAACACCTCCACTTTATGATGCTTCCAAATTCTTATGGTAAATGCTAGTTCATGGTCAAAGTAAAGCAGACAGATTTATCATTTTAAAGAGCAACAATTGCTAATAGTCAACACTTTTATAGAAATGATCGATCAATAATCTTCAGATCAACCAACATCTCCCATTTACAGCCACAGCACTATTTCACATGAAAAAAAGAGTGCTCAGAGGGCCATTTATGCTGATTTAACAGTTTATATAGTCACATTTATACATGTTCAAGTAAATCACTACATCTGTCTCAATTCTGTAAGTGAATTAGAATGTAGGGCTTTGCTTACCTTCACATGTTAAGCTCAAATCAACATGCCTAGTAGGATGACTTCCTGTCTGGCATCTCAAAGCCATCTTTTCTGGAGTTTTTCCCCTTACTAACTTCTAAACCACTGAACAGACTACATTTCTTCTGCCCTGGTGTTTCGGAGACAGACAGATTGCAGTTACATTATAGGTCATTTACTTTCCAGGTGACCTGCTTGTCTGAAAACAAGCTAGCATGCTCACTAAACATTTGATAGCATTCTCTTTTTACTAGAGTTGATCCCTGTCACCCTATGGTAAGATAACACATTGGCAGTCAAACACCATTTTATTTTTAAACTTTATTTTCTGAAGCACTGAAATATTCACCTCAAGTACTTTTAAAGGTCTCATTTAAAGATTAACAAATTTCCAGGCAAAAGTCACATTATCCAAAACTATGCCTTCTTCCTTAACACTGTATGGAAATACAAAGTCAAATTTGAAGCTACACATGGTTCTGCCCTCTTTAGAACCCAAGTTTTCAATGAGAGTAGTCATGATTTTTCAAAGCATAGAGTCAAGAAAACAGGCATAACCGTCCAAGTGAATGTTAGCCATTACTCAGTTGGTAGAATTCTGTGGATTCAAGAAATCATTCCAGAATTTTGATCAGAATGAAATGTATTTTTTGAATGATAAACTGAAGCTCCATTTGGCCTTTCAGGTGGATTTAAACATTCCGTATTAATTGAAGAACTGCAGATAAGCTCTTCACAAATGTTCCGGCTAAATTTTCTAATGATGGAGATAACTAACATTATCTGGAATGCACCAGGGCACAAAGTATTCAAATTTTCTTATACTACAACATATATTACACTTCAAACAAAAATGTAAAGTGCTGCAAGTCATTTTAACTTGAGACACTATACAATGTGCCCCTTTAAGAAAGGGAAGGGCGACATTATAATCGAGTTCAACCCTATTCAGTGAACGTTTCTAGTTTCCCAACCCCTGAGTAAACAAACAAAAACTGGGAAATATTGATTTCTTTCTTACTTGTTGTTGAAGGACAATGTAGCTCAATATCAAGTAATTCCTTCAGATAGAATTCTTGGTCCGAGTGTATTGTATTTAACCAAATCAATTTACAGATGTACAATGAGCATGGACTGCTGATAAAATAGTTAAACTGAATAGCCTTAAGAGTAGGTCTCAGAACTCCTCAAGTGCCTCAACTCACCTGCTTATTTGCAAAGATTAACAACACAGCATCTCTCAGCTCATCTTCTGTTATCATTCGATTTAACTCATCCTTTGCCTCATTGATACGCTCTCGGTCATTGCTGTCGATAACGAATATTAAGCCTTCAAAACAGAAAGCACACAGACTCCAATGATGTGTGAGCTGCTTATCCGATGACAAAATGCAAACCGCAACTTCAGAACCTGTTCTAAATTACTCTAAACAGATGTTAACACATTAGATTAAAAAAAAGAAATAGCTGTTGCAAGAGAGATAATGCTTTTCATACCCTGCTCACATTTCTACAGGTTTCTGTAGAAGACAGCATGGTTTATTTTTTTTTTGGCGGGGGGGGTGGTGGTGGCAGGAAGAATGTAAAATAGGCTGCCAATTCCCTTCTCATGTGGACATTTTAAAAGAAGGCATCAGAGGAGATTCTATAGCTTGCTCTTTCAAAGACAGAACTGCAGGTGTCAAATAAACTGCCCTATGCCATTGTATATACCTTGTGATTAAGTAGCATCACAAAGTACATGCAACTCAGTACCAGAGCAATTTACTGCTTGTGCAAAAATAATTAGACATGAATCTGGAATGTTAATTTTAACCAACGTTGCCAATGAAGGAGTTGGTAGATTCACATCAAACACCTGTTTTGGATTCTGCTCAGTTTTACAAAATTAAACAGTGCTGAAAGGACTATGACCCAAATCTACACCACACCCTGGCTCAGTGGTTAGTACTGTTGCCTCAGTACCAGATATTCAGGTTGGATTCCAGCTTTGGGTGACTGTGGAGTTCTCCAATTATTTGTGGAGGTTTATTGTTAAATTGCCCCTAGCAGCCAGGGATGTGCAGGCTCGTTTGAATTAGCCATGGGTTGCAGGGATAGGGTAGGGGAGTGAGTCTGAGTGGGATGTTCTTTGGAGGGTTGGTGTGGACTCAATGGGCCAAATGGCCTGCTTCCACACTGTAGGGCTTCTTATGATTCTATGATTCCAGTAAGGTAGCTTAAGAAATGAAATTTAGGCCTTCAATTTCTTCTCATTCACTGGTTTAATTAAAAAAGGCTTGTGAAAATTTAGTAGTATTTTCCACTAAAAGTATAACACAAATCTGCCATGCAATGTTGCCATCTTCCTCATACAAAAAATTGCACCTGGGAAACAACAGAGCTTAGATTATGCCAGAGTCAAAGTGGCAAAAGATAGGTATAATAGGTTTCAAGCAACAAGTGGGTTAGACAAAGGACAAAACCAAAAAAGGTCTGGTGAAAAACAGGACAAAGATTGGAAGAAAGTTTGTGACTCAAGGAAAGTGGCGATGGGGCAAGAATAAAGCATATTCCTGTGCTCAAATGCACTAAGTCAGATGGTCATGCCCTTAAAAATTTAAAGCAACTCAAACTTCAGTGCAATACACACATGCTATTTCATGAATTAAAACACTGAACTCAGGACATCTACCTCATTTTCTTTTGACATGGAATGTTGTACCCTAGGACAAGATGCCTATGGGTCAATAGTAGACTACACAAGAAAACAGCAGCCTTTAAGCACAATTTCTGATTGGAAAATATATTCTATAAACACAACTAGTCTCAAAAAACTGAAATGTATTCCAATTTCCACACACAACTGTGAGAAATTTTAATTCATACCTTGTGTGTTCTGGAAATAGTGTTTCCAGAGCGTTCTAATTTTGTCTTGACCACCCACATCCCATACTGTGAAGCTTATATTTTTGAATTCCACTGTTTCAACATTAAAACCTGCAACACAATAAATGCAAAATAACTGATTTAAATTTAGTATGAATGAATTATAGCAAAGCACAAAGTACATGAGAGGAGCAACAACCATTCAATGCTATGCACCCCTTCCCAATAGGAACTGTTTCAGAAGCTAATTTGAGGTTGAATTGTCTTTAACTTCACAAATAAATCAGATCACAGCTTAAAGGGGAATTAGGAGTCATGACAGATCATATTGTTATCTCTACAAACAAAGAATACTGCACAAATATATATTGTTTTTAAAAAATAAGTATCAAATCTTAAGTTTGGAGAAACCACGGTTAAATGACATTGCAATGCCTTTGTTGCACTATTATAGCTGGCCAAAAATTGAAACCAATGGCAAGTTAAAATTTGATTTAGACATAAGCAATTGACTCCACGCTGTATCATCATAGTTATAAGCTCTTGCAGCAGAGACTTTAAAATTTGCTCAGTCCAGAAAATCTAGGCCAAAGTCATTTTGTCAAAGACCCACAGTTTGAAGTCATTAAATTTCAACTGTATCTGGACTCTAAATTTAGATTGGAACTATGGAGTAAAAATTGTTCAATTCAAGACAACAATGTATAATGGGCAGCAACCAAGGGTAGTTACTCCTTTGAAGTTGAGTCACACTGCTCTGCTAGTGTTAGAACAGAATATAGGAGAAAAAATAACACTTACCATCTACGCAGCAATTCAGCAGTCCCTTTAAAGGCTAAGGCAGGACTGGCAAAAATTAGGCAGACAGACAACATGTTCCACCTAACTTTCCTCTGCTCACATTTTCAGAAGGATCCATTATTTTTCAAATTGTTTTCAGGCATAGCTAGTGGCACTGAGCACCTAATAGAAAGCTGCCATGCCACTAGCACAAGTTAACCAGACCTTGTGCCAAGAAATTGGTTTGACTGCACCAATTTTACACCAAAAAAAAACTAAAAAAGTTCACTCGGCGTGTTTAAATGACAACTGCAGAGTGTGGTCAATGTCATGTGCTGGCATGTTGATTCAGGCCATCATGTAAACTGAGTATTAAGGCACATAACATTGACAAGTCAGTTTATCCATTTCACGATTTAACTTTTAGCATCAAACAGGACTTCATTATCCTCCGAAAGAATATGCCTTAACTCAAATTATCACAACTTGTATTTTTCGG